AATAACATGAGGATTATGAAAAAAATTCATACATATTTTAAAGAACCTTTGAATAAATATAATAATTTTTTTTTGGAAAAATTATTATTACATTTTAGTTGATTTGTGAACATCTAGAATCTGAAGCACGAGAAATTTTATATCCTAAAGGTGTAATTAATTAACATGATTGAGAAGAAAGATTTATGATACACTCTACAGCTGAATTTAAATACAAGCAAAAAGAAATAAAGGATATTTTTAGGAGAACTTTTAGTTCATCACTTTTGAGAATGAACTCAATAAGAAAAAATTTGATAATTATGAAAAGCCATTTAAAATATTCAATATCAATTTAAGTTTTTTTTATTTTGTTGTTCAGGAAGAGTTCACCTCTTCATAGCCATGTTTGAATGTTTATCACATATTGACCTATGAAGAATGATTAAAAAAAAATTAAATAAACTACAAATTAATCTTTATAAATTCTCCTTTAATTAAAAAAAAATAATATAAATTGTATTTTAAATGAATCTATCTTCAATAATAAGAAACTGTAAATAACTATAACCAAATGTCAAATTATGAATTTGATGTAATTCTTGGAGCAATCTTTTCTCTAATGTGGTTTGGCTCAAATGCCAAATTAAATTCATTTTCAATTTATACTTATGATCACTTACGAAAATATTGTGAGAATCATTATTTCTAAAGTAGAGTTTCATGTTGAATGTATGGTTGCACAGATTAAATTTAAATTAGATTATAAAATAGATTGCTATTTTGCAACATATTATCATTTAATCTTTATGTAGTGGGACTTATATATATTTATTCTAATAGAATCATGTTCAAAATCTAAACTAAATGATATATAAAATCTGAAAGATAGTCATTGAATTTGAAATCATTAATTTTGATTCATAAATTAGAGTAAAAATAGACACCTGAATTTATAAAAAAAATATTAGAACATTTCTATAAAATTTCTAATTTTAGAAACCTTAAAGAAGGCATCAAAGTTAGATATATATTTTTGGATGATTAACAAAACAAAAAGATATTTATTTTGTGACCAAATTCAGTTTGGATGTTCAGGAAAGATCATAATATCATTATTTAAAATATTTATTAACCTTATAAATATTTATTTCCAGCTTAAAAAATTAAATGTAATAATTTAAATCTACTTTGAGGTTCATTAATCTTCCATAATTGCTCTCTTTATAACATTTTTGTTCTGTTTCAAATGCATTAAAATTGCTAGTGCCCCAGTTAATCGTATAAATTACATCTAAATAGTGCGTAACACCATTTAAGGATATAATGGAATTAGATTAAACCAAATCATCTAAAATGGATTATGCACCTACAATTTTGAACTTTTTTCAATCTGTTATTTTTGATGTTTTCAATCTATGACAAAAAATAGTTTGTCAAATAAGCAGTGAATTTTTTAAAAGTTAGAATGCTAATAGTCAAAAGCCTTTAGAAGTTATTTTTTCTTAGAAATTAATCCTTAACCTATTAACAGAATTTCAAACTCTCTTAAACAAAGAATTTCTTGGACACAAATTATTAATTGATTATAAAACCATCAATCCTAGCATTCTTAATAAAAAAATTAATCCTTTCAAAGGATGTTTTTTAGCATCAAACCAGCCTTTCAATCCAACTTCTGATAAATCAAGCATTGTTTAAGCTTCCAAAATTTGGTTTAATCTTTGGTATTACTCAGATAAAATTAAATACATCATTGACACAAAAGGGTGTAAAATCTTTTTATTTATTGATGTAACTTTAGAGTAACAATCTATTGTATTCTAAGCACACAAAATAGTCCATGTTATAATTAACTTTTAACTAAGTCCATTTTTGTTCCTTATAAAATACTTAATAAAAAATCGAGCATTTTTAATTTTTAATCAATTGCTGTTATATCTGATAACAGATTCATTTTCAAAGAAAAATATACTTGTTATTTTGTTTCCTCATTCCTAATTCTATCTTTTATTTTCTTTATTTAATTGATTGATCTGTTAACAGTGATTGAAGTAGTTAATTGTGATTATTCTAAAGAAAGTTACAATACATCACAATAACTTGTATGATTTTTGTTTTCTAATTATTGAAAAGAAAATTAATGTTTGGCAAATTCTTAAATGATTAAGGATTGCTTCATTTATTATATCTTTATTAAAAAGGTGAATATAATCCTAATTCATTGTTTATGACTAAGAAACTCGTAATCTTTATTTTCAATTCATCAAGTTAAGAAATTGTCTTGTTCTTATATATAAGATTAAATAATATATAGTAGGTAATTGTTAAACAATGACACTATTGTTTGTTCTTATTTCATATATGTGTTGATATATTGAAGTATATCTTAAATATTTTATAGCATTTTCGTAATCAATCAAATTCATGTAATGTTTAAATTACAAATGAGCTAAAAGAGCGTGAATTAAAGTACCTTCAGCATAACCATTTAATTTAAAGCTTAACAATTGAATGAAAGTTATACAGATATTATTATTTTGTTCTTCATATCCAATCATTGCGTTTACTACATCCAACAATGATTCAAATAAATGCATGATGCGAATTAATTAAGGCTATTTTTTCAATTACAAAATACTTTCTTTTATACTTTCTTATATTAATAATTAATCTTAATTCATCAAAGGTTAAACAATATATACTGAGAGTTAAATTTAAAATCCTGAAAATATAAAAAGCTATTTGTATATTCAAAAAGACACATAATTACTCGTATCTTTGAAGATGCATTCTACAATCATGAATTATGAAAATAAATGCCTGAGATTAAAGTAATCATTATACCAAAAAATACATTAAATCAACAACATCGACTGTTGAATGTATCGAAATGAATGCAATAAACCAAGTACTAAGATCAAAGAAAAACAATCGTCATCTAATTTTTCCTAAATTTATTCATATGAATTTCTTTTTAATAAAATTTAAGATTACAATTTAAAAACAAACAAAACAACTAATATTATTGAAATTTACCCAAAAGAAGTATCAAGCACTAAATTATATACGCATTCATTGCTAATCTAAGCAAATTTTAAAGCTTAGCAATAAAATTTTGGGTTTGGTTCAACTTGTTTAATACCAAAACAAATTGATAGATAATAAAATACTTAGAGCCCTCTAAACCTGGATGATGAAACCAGTGTTCATCTTTTATTTGAAGGCTGATAGGAAACTCTTTTAGCAATTCAATAACTTTTAGTTTACCTAAATTGTTTGTAAGAACAATGATTGGGTAAAGTATGAGTAACAGGTTGTAGGTTAGCAAGATGAAGCATTTATTAAATAAGTCTGATTTAGTAGAAACAGAAATACATATCAACATTTTTGTAATTAATATTATCAATTTCGTTTTAATTATTAATCTATTTTCTAAAGTAAATGTTAAGTTTGAAACATCATAGTTTAAAACTTAATAAAGTCCTCATTATTAGTTTAAATTAGGTAATGCTACTTTTTTTTCCATCTTAATTGCATAATGGCTAAGTATTTGCCTCATTTTTGAGATTTTCTCCTATTTTAATAGTTTTAATTGATTTAAATAAAACGAATAAATTGATTCATATACACCCTCTACTTCTTAAAATCTTGATAATAATCCTGAAAACGTTCATTTTTACTGTCATATAAATTTATCAACTAAAACAATTTAAAATAGATCAGTTAAGTCAGATATAATTTATCCCCTTCCATCAATACTTCAATCTTGGTATCAAGATCATCTCTTATAAAACGATCATCATCAATTTAGGATGGTTGTTCAAGATTAATTAAACCAGGATGATCAAGAGGAATATCCAAATGGTTGGAGTTGGGTCAGAAGAGATGAGAAGTTCTTAACTTTATATATATCTGAGTAATAAATTCCAGCAAGAAGAAAGTTTTGCTGAAATTTATTAAACAGCCTATATAGCTTGGAATTGATTTAGATAGATTTGCAAATACGTTCGATATTATATTAATATTAAGATATGTCTAGTATTCTTTAATTTCATTTGATTTTAAGATGGAACTATTTAAATTTTTGGAAAATAAGTTAATAAAATGTGGTAACATATCTGAAGATATGTTGTAATGATTTGTTTTTATAATAGTTTCAACTTCATGAATTAAAAGTATCACTCTATGAAATTATTTCATTCTGAGATGAAAAATTAATTTAATGCTTCATATTTTCCATATATATGAATAAGTATATTCTTTAGAATTTCGAGCCAATAAAAATCAATTTCAATAAATTGTTTTTAAATCGCATTTAATCAAAAATTAGTTAAGGATTTTATTCATTTTGTAATATTTCCAAAAGAAAATATCGTAGAGGATTCTTACTACCCAATCTCCTCTTAAAAATTTTCAATAGACTTAAGTCTTCTCAACTTCAAAGATGCTTTATTTTTATAAAATTTAAGTTAACTATTAAAACTTTAGCTTAATATTTTAATTCGTTTATAATCTAAATTTTATAACATATGCAACAAATTTTCGTTCCAAACAAGTATTAAACCTATTATTTTCCTCTTCACAATATAAGCTAAATGGACTGTGAAGAAAACACACTATCATCAAAGAAAAAAGTTAAAAAAACCAATACAAAGTGCACTTTTTCAACATATTGCTGGTTTCATATTGTAGAGAAATTTAATAATTTTCAAAATCTGTCAGAATTGNCTCATTTTTTGAGCTTTTCTCTTATTTTAATAGTTTTAATTGATTTAAATAAAAAGTATAAATTGATTCATATACACCCTCTACTTCTTAAAATTCTTTATAATAATCCTGAAAACGTTCATTTTTACTGTCATATAAATTTATCATCTATAAAAACTTAAAATAGATCAGTTAGGTCAGATATAATTTATCGCCTTCCGTCAATACTTCAATCTTGGTATCAAGATCATCGCTTATATACCGATCATCATCAATTGGGGATGATTGTTCAAGGTTAATTAAACCAGGACTGTGATCAAGAGGAATATCCAAAAGATTTGGAGTTGGGTCACGAGAGATGAGAAGTTCTTAACTTTATATAATATCTGAGTAATGAATAGCAGCAAGAAGAAAGTTTTTGTTGAAATATTATTAAATAGCCTATATAGCTTGGAATTGATTTAGATACCTTTGCAATTACGTTTGATATTATATTAATATTAGGATATAATCCTGATTTTTTCTCAAAGTATTTATTAAATTTAATCTTTCAAAGGAACTAATCGATGATTATCCATCATTTCTTTGTTTGATTCTTCGCTTTAAAATGATATGTTATTCAATCTCTGATAAATTCTCAAGCTTTATATTTAAGCTTAATTATCGAAACATAATTCTTATCTATGCACTGCTTTTTTTTAAACCTTCAATCAGCTTTGAAATTTCAGGTTAAAAATCTTTTTTTAAAGCAAATAAAGCAGAAATTTTAAAATAATAGATTAATAAAATGTCTAGTATTCTTTTAATTTCATTTGATTTTAAAATGTAACTATTTAAATTTTTGGAAAAATAATTAATAAAATGTGGTAACATATCAGAAGATATGTTGTAATGATTTGTTTTTATAAAAGTTTCAACTTCATGAATTAAAAGTATCACTTTTTGAAATTATTTCATTCTTAGATGAAAATTAATTTAATGCTTCATATTTTCCATATATATGAATAAGAATATTCTTTAGAATTTCGAGCCAATAAAAATCAATTTCAATAAATTGTTTTTAAATCGCATTTAATCAAAAATTAGTTAAGGATTTTATTCATTTTGTAATATTTCCAAAAGAAAATATCGTAGAGGATTCTTACTACCCAATCTCCTCTTAAAAATTTTCAATAGACTTAAGTCTTCTCAACTTCAAAGATGCTTTATTTTTATAAAATTTAAGTTAACTATTAAAACTTTAGCTTAATATTTTAATTCGTTTATAATCTAAATTTTATAACATTTTTTTTCTTCTTTGAATGTAAGATTAGCAAATAAAAAAACCAATAATCACTCCAAATTTACTTTTATGAGGATAATAAGGTCAAACGAAAAGAAAATATCCAAATTCTAGTTCTATCTTTTTTTAATTGATTCATTTAGAGAAAAAATTAACAAAAAATCCATAATCTAATTATTCCACTTAGTTTATTTTCTTAATTAATTCTTTAATTTTAAATTATTATTTTTTTTTTTTATATGTTTAAATTCTGCATATAGCTATAGAAAATTGCCTTAAGTATTTATTCAGAACCTCTGTTTGTATTTTCCTTAAGTATTATTAGGAGTATAGTGTTGATTTTGAGTTTCACTTTTTAAAGTTCACTCATTTAATTGTTATTAAAGTTCTCTTCTTTTTGAATTTTTTTCGAAATTGCTTCGCCAATTTCATTATCTGAGCTTATAGTTTCAAAATTATCTGAACTCTATTTTCTAAAGGATCCAATAATTTTATATAATAGACAGCGTTGTAACTAATTTTGATTATTTTCTTCTATAGCCCTGCTTAAGCTAATTGTAATTTATACATTATTTTTAAACAAATAATGGCATCTTCGCATTATTTATTCTAAAATTGTAGGAGTGCCACAAAAAGCGACATGGTCATGTATTTCGCAAAAATTTAATCCTGAATTGCATAAAAGGGTAATAAAATCTAATAATTAATTAAATTCCTGCCAAATTCCCATCTCCTTTAGGCCACAGTCTTTGAATTTAATATAATACCAAATCCAAAACAGTATTATGGTAAATGGAAACAAACATCCGATTAAATTAATAAGCGCTAAGAGCAAAAAGAATTCCATATATTAATTTATAATACTGTATTTTTCTTAACTATTTTAAAAAGGAATTTTTATTCTTGCTCTTCATTGAATTAGATTAAACTTAGATTTTAAGATTATTATTTGTTAGTTTCGAATTTTTCTTTCTTAAAGGAATAAGTTAACAAACTTCATCACTTAAGAACAATATGCAACAAATTTTCGTTCCAAACAAGTATTAAACCTATTATTTTCCTCTTCACAATATAAGCTAAATGGACTGTGAAGAAAACACACTATCATCAAAGAAAAAAGTTAAAAAAACCAATACAAAGTGCACTTTTTCAACATATTGCTGGTTTCATATTGTAGAGAAATTTAATAATTTTCAAAATCTGTCAGAATTGTAGCTATTTATTCCTAATATGAATCTACTAAATATTAAATTCCATAATTCAAGGATCCTGAAATTATTACTTCCAAACATTAAAATTCATTGCCTGCTTGATCTAATAAAGTTTTCAAAAAAAGATTAAAAAAAAAGTAAGCCCAATAATAACTCCTATGTCTGATCCAATCAAAAATATCAAAACTAAGACCGAAATAATAATTCTTTTAATAATCTCAGAATGAATAGCCTCCTAAGAATTTAATTGATCATTTCCAATCGATCTTATGTGCTTACCTTTAAAAGCTGTTCTGATAAAACTTTCTTTTGCATTTTTATTTTATCCATATTTGATATTAAATGTTAACTACATTTGATTCCAATAATCAGTTACAAATGAACTCCAGTGAATTAATAAAACTGAAAAGGAAGATATAATACCTATAAATATATCTTAGTCATAAAATTTTGATAAATATGTAAATATGGTATAGATTATCCCAATAAGGGATAAAAATCCATAATATTTAATATAATAAGCTGAGAACTCGAAATAAAGACCTATTTTTTCTCCAAAATAAGAACAAATTTATTCAATTGGTAAACTCCAAGGGTTTTTAAAATTGAAAATCCATTCTCCAGCAAGATCAAATGGTTTTTTCTTATAGCAATCCTTATCTTCGCTTAAAGCCTATTAAAGACTGTTGCAATGGCCGAATAATTCGTAATTATCATGTAAACAAAATAAATTGTTAACCAGCTTCAAATTTATCAAAGTATTCAAATTTAAAGAGGAAGCTATAAGTTACTATGATAGTTTTAATCGCTCATGAGAAGGAAACAAAGTTATTTAATTTTTCTCATTTTTAATATATCTACACCATTTTATTTAAAATTTTGCCTATTGCTTTAATGATGAATTGTTAAAATGAATTTTGAAAGGAATAAAAAGCTCAAATGGAGAATAATTGTTCCTATCCCATATGGATTTCAAATATTATTTTGGGGTATTCGCTACTTTTAAGGCTTCTTTAAATATATTTAAATAATTGTGAGCTAGCTATTACTAAAGAAGCAGCTTGATTTTTTTAATTTTTGGAATCTTAGAAAATATTGGCAGAGTTTGGTATTGAGATGAAAGTTCTCTTATTTAATCATAGATTTTTTGGATTTTATCTTATTCTTCTGGGTTAAATTAAATAAATTATTTAAATTTTTAATGATTTCTAATTGCATAAATTTACTCAGCAGTTTTTTGTTCATTTATTACTANCCTGAAATTATTACTTCCAAACATTAAAATTCATTGCCTGCTTGATCTAATAAAGTTTTCAAAAAAAGATTAAAAAAAAAGTAAGCCCAATAATAACTCCTATGTCTGATCCAATCAAAAATATCAAAACTAAGACCGAAATAATAATTCTTTTAATAATCTCAGAATGAATAGCCTCCTACGAATTTAATTGATCGTTTCCAATTGATCTGATGTGCTTACCTTTAAAAGTCGTTCGGATAAAACATTCTTTTGCATTTTTATTTTATCCATATTTGATATTAAATGTTAACTGCATTTGATTTGAATAATCGGTTACAAATGAATTCCAGTGAATTAATAAAAACTGAAAAGGAAGATATAATACCTATAAATATATCTTCGCCATAAAATTTTGATAAATGTGTAAATATGGTATAAAAATCCATAAAATTTAATATAAGAAGCTGAGAACTCGAAATAAAGACCTATTTTCTCAAAAATAAGAATATGTTTATTAAATGGGTACTTCCAAGTGTTTTTACAATTTGAAAATCCATTCTCCAGCAAGATCAAATGGTTTTTTCTTATAGCAATCATTAATTTTCTTGGAAATCTCTAGTGCTTTTGATGTTAATTATGCGCATAATCCTTAAGATTTTTTTTGAGCTCCACAACACATTATCATAATTGATTAAGTAATGTTATACCTAGCAATTCTAACCTTGCTATTATTTTTAGTAGGTGCATCCTTTTACTTGTTAGAGTATATAACCCAACTATTCAAGACTATTAGGGGAAATGAATAGATTTGTATTCCTCACTCTTCCTCAGTTAATCAAGTAAATTCAAGCATAACGCCTAGAAAAATATGTGGAGATAAAATATTCAGAGTCTTCTAAATAGGAATAAAATAACATTTCTTTACTAATCATCCAATAGTATAAATATTCTATGTCATTTTTGCTGTGGAAGGATATTTGATTTATCTCTTTTTTGGATGTCTTACATTGTTTGGTAATAATTCATTAGTGTCACATGCAGACACAGTAATTGGATAAATAATGGCATTCTTTTTTCGATTCCTTTTTTAAGGTTTGTAAATACGACTAGGAATAATAACTAAGGAGAATAATTAAGTGTACATTAATGAATTTAAGGAATACAATGATAATGTAGTTATTTGTAAGATAATCAATGCAGTACATGTAATGTCATCAAACCAGCAAAAAGTAAGCATTGCAGATCATAGTGTTTGGAGTAATGAAAGATTGAAAGAACTTGAAGTTCTTCAGACTGAAAGTAGAGAAAAGTTACTCAAAGATGCAAAAACTCCTGAGGAGATTAAGGAATTGAGTGATAAATTAGAGAAATTTTAGTCATGTAAAAATAGGACAATTTCAGCTAAATACATAGGGATTTGGAAAGGATTGAAAAAAGAGTATAATGAACCAGATGAATTGGGCTAGAAAATTAGAATAAACAATAGAATATAATAATAATGGATTAATAATATATGTGTTCTAGGAATCCAAAATAAGCAGTGTCTCGTTTTCTCATTAATCACAAACAATAAGGATTATGTTGCTAATAATACATATATTAAGATAGTTTACCATAGTAATTTGTCGTCTCTTTGCAATTGTAACTCACTTTAGTTAGGTCAGAGATTAATAATAAAATTAACGATATCTATGAGGAGAAGAAGATTAGCACTCAATATGACATGGACGTACTCAAGAACATTCAGCAAGCATTCAAGGCCTAAATATTTCACCTAACTATTAGGAATTTTATCTTTACTGACACTTATCTTTTATTTATTTTCGGAACAAATAAAGATTAACAAGCTAAATTAATTTCGATGCTTATATTAATAAGATTCTTTCAAGACTAATATATAATGTTTTGAAAAAATTATATAAAAAATATGATTATTCTTTTATATTGCAACGATCCTATTTAATCTCATAATATGAAAAAAAATTTAAGGAATACTTCAAAGTTATAGATATCATATTTATTCATCTATTACAAATGAAAAACTTTGGTCTAACTTATTTGATTTTTTCCTTAATTTCATTAATCATCTTAATCTCTATTCAAAATATTGGCACTTATATTTTAAATAGAATGATTCTTAGATAGCTAAACATCAATCAATATAAAATACATTTTTATTTTTCGAATTGACCAAAACTTGATTTGTGTTTATCTAGGAATCTTGAATATCAGTTTATTCATTTAAATTTATTTTTCGAAATATGATTGTTATTGTTGGCTCACGATAAGATGGGCTTATTTTCTTTTTTCTTAATGAAGGGCTTTTTCAAGTCCATATTACCAATTTATAATTTATAAGAATCGAGTCGAGAATTATAGTCTAAGGAGAGAAATCTAAGTAGATAATATTCAGTATGTTGAATATTATCTGATACATAGGTATTCCAATTGAAGAGAGGTAGGTTCTATATATTAAATTCTAGTTCCTTAAATATGTGTGAAGCCACCGATTGAAAAGGCAAGGTAAAGAGCATAATCTGATAATTCTCACGCCTGCTCAAATTTTAGAGAATAAAAAAATTGATAAACATGTTTTTAAAACTGTCTTCAATTAAAATCACTCAAACAATGTTTAGACTTAATATTTTAGCTAAGAAATCTTGTATAGGATTTGAAATCATGCTGTAATTAAGTTAAATTATTAAAGAAGACTTGCATTCTTCGATCCAATAGTGATAATGAAACAAATCAGTTAAAATTCAAATTTCATAAACTAAACTAGCACAAAAAATAACTTTTGATGAGGATACCATAATAATCTCATATCTGTTTAAAATAAATTAAAGAGCATAAGAAAAAGTTTTAAACAATAGATATTAAGAGATCTGAAAGGGAGAGGTAATCACAGTGAATCTCATACCAATATATTTAAGTAGATTATCATAATTCTTTCTATCTTTGCTCATCATATTAAGTAATATTGAATTGTATAAATAAAAACTATTTTTTTATTAATCAAAATACGGTAACAAATTTAATTATTCAAGAAGTATTAAAAGACAAAAAAAATACGAATTAAGAAATGATTAATTTTGACAATTATATGTTAATTTATTTAACAATTTTTTGTGTTTAACTTGATTCAAAAACTGTTATTGAAGAAAGGCAATATTGTTTTCAGATGCCTTTTTGATTTTGATTTATTATTACTTTTTTCTTAAAGTACTCATAGCTCCACAAATGTTGTATATTTTAAATATAAATGTACACATGAATAAAAGAAAACCACCCTTAATAAGATATATATATTAATTGTAAATTTTATCATCATTATGACGCTTTCCCTTTAAATATTTATGATTACAGTTAGGAGATGATTCCAAAAATAATCGTTTATTGTTGAGGAAAAGGTGAGTTTATTGAAAAATGTTTTATATATCCTTATTACCACACTTTAATAATTAATAATTACAAAATAGTGAAATTCGTTTTTAAAGTAATTGCAGAATTTTCTATTTCTTTTGAAGAGACAAAAAAGTGTTAACGATTAGCCATCCAATTTGCTATGTCTTCTAACTTTAAAAAATTAAAATGTTTTAGAATAATAGAATTTGGAAGGTTGAGTACTTAGCCTCCCAATAAATTTAAAGCCTTTAATAATTTTTATGTTTAGAAAGGGTATTCAGTTTTTATTATTGATACTCCAAGTAGTTGATGGATTTAGGAGATTCAGGAGTGATTAAGATACAGTTGGCTACTCGATTCAATGTAAAGGAGGACATTATCACGCTCCTGGAATGCATCCTCATCCTTGTGTTTGTAATTTAATAATGTGGATTTAGCCTATGCCTCTATTTGTTAATCATTTACCGAATCTAAAATGATCATTTCAGAAAATGGAAATACTATGCCATCCCAGACTTCAAGTATATCCGACATCGTATGATTTAAATCTTACTAAAATAAAAGTCTGTTTTGAGAATACTTTAACATACAAATATTCAGAGGATACTGATTTAACTATTTCATGTGAAATTGTCTCTAACAACTGTTTCATAGCTTAAAGGTCTGGAGACATTCTTAAATGCTAATATTGTTCAACTTATTATTCGGGTGAAAGTTGCTTGTCACAAGATAGTATTGTTTTATCTTGTGGAAGCAAATGTGCAAGTTGTGCATCAAATTATTGTGGAACATGTAAGGAAGGGTTTTCTCCCGCTAGTGGTGTAGATTTAAAATGTCGTTTAGGTAATTATATTTTAGAATTTTAAGCCTGCTTACCAGGACATGAGACTTGTTCATAAATTAATGGTGTATACTCATTTTAAGGGTGTAGAAAAGGTTACGAGCTAATGCGTAGGTATAAATCATATATAGTATTGAAGCATGCCCGTTTAAATGTGCTTAATGTGTTACTGGTGTATGCACTGCATGTGAATTTCAGTATTTTTTAAAAGACGGTTAATGTTTTGGGGATATAAATTGCGTCAGATTTGATTATAATTATGATCCTAATACTGGATTACCCATTGGAATACTTGTTAATAATGTGACTTCGGATATTTTTATAATCCAAGTCTGTAAAGAGCAGCCTGATTTGAAAGATTGTTTGATTTGTTTTAATGCGACAGAATGCAAGATTTGTCAGAGAACACACGTAATAACTGCAGATAAAAAATGCACACCATTTCTTTATTGCTCACCAAACTGTTAAACCTGCCTTTATACTGATCCTGATTGCTGTACTACTTGCTTTTTGAGAACAAAATTTCAAAGTTCAACAATTATGCCTGGAAAATGTGTCTGTGATTATCCAAATGGTTATGTTGATAAGGATGGTGAATGTGCATATTGTTCAGATGGACCATGTTAAACTTGCGGTAAAGATTATTATGAATGCACATCTTGTAACACAATAAAAAATAGAATTTTGATGAACACCCAATGCATTTGTAAACAAGGATATTATGAGGCAGGTTTGGAAAATTAAATATGTTAAAGTATGTTAAATCTTAATTAGAATGCTATTATTATTGTTATAATTGTAAAGACCTTAAGATAATGATTGTACGTTTATCAATATGATGGAAATACCACTTGCGTTAGTAATAGTATTAGTCAATTAATTAGCTTGTCATCCTATATGCTAAAAATGTTATAAGCCCTCTGATGCTTCAACAAATTAATATTGTTCTATGTGCATCTAAGGCCAACATAGAGTTTATCTTACAATTACAAATGTATTTGTTAAGATGGATATGGAAGTGATGGAATCTAAGATATTTGCGTTAGTACCTAATTTGAAAGATAATAATAGTGTGTCATTATTCATGTACGAATTGTAAAGGACCACTTGAAACTGATTGTATATCATTTTCCTCTTCTGCCCATCGATATTTGACAACTTACAAAACAGGTTCTTGCTACAACAGCTATTTTGATACTGGTTTATAAGATCAAAATTGTTATTGTAAACTCTATTTTTCTATATTAGTTTAGTGTCATCATTCTTGTTCTAATTGCACTACTTATGGCTAAAATAAATGCACTTCATTTCCTTCAACAAGGTATGCTTATGAAGTTAAAACTACCTTTTAATGTCTTTGCAAAGATTATAGTGATCCGCTCTTCTTAGAATGTTAGCCATGCCATCTAACATGCAAACCTTGTAAAGGCAGTTTAGAAACTGATTGTTTAACTTGCGAAACTACTTTTAGAGAATTGGTTATTTCAAAATGTGATTGTTATCCTGGATTTTACAACACAGGCAGCCTTTAGTGTTCATGTGATTTATTAATGCTTACTATTAGCGTGTCATTATACCTGTCGATCATGCTTTTCTTAGGATGAAGATAGTTGTATCACTTGTGCTTCAGAATAAAACGGAGTTATGAAGCAAACAAATGTGTCTGCATGAATAATACGATGTAATCTTCAAATAACGATTCAATGTGTTAAAGTTTATTTTACATCTTAACTTAGAATGCTCATATCGTTGTTCGTCTTGTACTATAAAGCCTGAGAATTGTACAACATGTCCTGAGTATTCTGAACGTGACTTAAGGACTGACAATTCTTGTTAATGTCCAGCTAATTTTTATGATCAACTTGGCAACCCCATTTGCATAAGTATATTTTAAATGTAATTTTAGGGTGTCATAGTACTTGTTAAACATGTGAAGGGTCAAAAAGTAATTAATGTACGTCTTGTGTTTCTTTAAGCAAAAGAAAATTAAACTCTATTGGTGAATGCAATTGCCCAATTTCATACTTTGATATAGGGATACAAGAGTGCTAAAGTATATACTAAATCATTATATAAATAGTTTGTAGCAGCGATTGTCTATATGTAATTTAAATAATTTTAGTATGTTGCTATATAATAATTAAATAAATAAATACTGTTCTAACTCAATTTAGTGTAGAATGTTCTATTACTTCAACAAATTGTACCTCATGTAGTCCAGATAGATATTAACTCTTAAACAGTTGTTTATGTAAAACAAAACTTTAAGGCAGCTATTTAACTACATATTCAGCGACATTGAAAAGTCGTTGTTAAAGTAAATTAAGCTGATTTATTCTCAGGCTGCCACTCTAGTTGTCTATCATGTAATGGTCCATTAGCAAACCAATGTTTGACTTGTTTGAACTCAGAATCAAGAATTTTAGTTGCTACAAGTTGTGTATGCACAGAAAATACCTTTGATATTAATGTCCCTAATTGTCAAAGTAATTTATTCCTTCATCATTTTAAGAATGTGATTATCGATGTGAAGGATGTACGACATTACGTACTAAATGTAAGGCTTGCCCATCATCAAGCTCAAGGATTTTTACAGTAAAAATATTTTCATTTTTGATTTTTGTTAAAATAGCTTGTAGAATATTGTAATTTCCCTATTATAAATTGAAAAATAAATTTTAAAATATTTTCCTTCATATATAATCCTTTAATCTCTTCTTGTGATTGCCCTATTTAATATTATGATGATGGAGTTAATATTATTTGTTAAAGTAATATTTTATTATAGCATTAGAATGCCACTACTCTTGTTTGACCTGTAAAATAACTTGGACTAGATGTGAATTTTGTTAAGTTAATTCATTTCGAATCTACAATGCTTTATTATAATCTTGCAATTGTAATGATCATTATTATGACTCTGGAATTCTTAATTGTCAATAATGTCATTATTCTTGTCTACTATGTAATGCTTTTCAGGCTGATTAATTTATAAGCTGCTAACCATAAGCAACATTATTTAGAATGTTGAATGGGAAAGTCTGCGAATGCCTCCTCGGATATTATGACGATGGATTTTCTTCAAATTGTTAAAAATGCTATTATAAATGTTTAAGCTGCATTACTTCATAAACTTAATGCACATCTTGTATATAAACAAGGCAATTATATCAAAATCAATGCCTATGTGAGCCTGGTTATTATGATAGTGGTTTAATTTATTGTAGTAAATGTGATTCGAATTGTACAGCGTGCGATTCGAGTATCTTAAGTTTTGAACACTCATGATAATGTTTGCTAGTGTTAACCAGGCACAACAGAAATAGATGGATTATGCTAACACTGTGATTTAAATTGTTTGACTTGTTCAAATAGCATTATAAACTGTACATTTTGTCATCTATCGAAATTGTTAATTGATTCATAATGTATATGTATTGCTGGAACCTATTTGTCAAACACAGATAATAAATGTTATCCTTGTAACTCTACCTATGAAACTTGTGATGGACTAGAGTCATTTTGCTTGAGTTGTTCTTCAGATAAAAATAGAATAGTAAATAATGCAAGCCACACTAGTATTTGTATGGATGGATATTATGAAAATTTAGTAAACAACTCTTGTTTGTAATGTGATAAAACATGCTTAACTTGTTTTTTGAATTCTTCAAATTGCACACAATTTGATTCAAGTCTGAACTTAACACTGAATTAGTAAAATTTATGCATTTGCAAAACAGGTTACTTTTTTAATCTCTTTACTTAATAATGTTAAGGTATTATTGTTATCTAATTTTAAGTTTGCCACTTTAGTTGCACTGAATGCTAAACTTAAACTTAATGTTTAACTTGTGAAGTTATAACTAGATATTTTGATAGTGATACTAATAATGCATTTGCAAGAATGGCTTTTACGAAGCAAATCAAAATTCATGTTAAAGTAAGAATAATGATTAAAATTATAGAATGTCAAAGTAGTTGTAAAACATGTTAGATTTAATCAAATAAATGTTTAACTTGTGATACGTCTAAATTTCGATATTTTTAAATGAATTCTTGCCCCTGTTTGGATGGATATTATGATGTTGGAATTGAGATGTGTCAAAAATGCAGCCAAATTTGTAAAACCTGCTCAATAAGCTCAACAAAATGGTAATCCTGTTTCCCAAATCATTTTCGTGTAGTAACTCAAAATGATTGTACTTGCATTCCTGGCTATTTTGATAATGGATCATTAATATGTGTAAGTATTTATGAGATATGAAATTAGAATGCTCAAATTCTTGTTAAACTTGTAAAAATCAAAAAGATTATTGTACTAGTTGTGATATGAATTAAAATAGATTAGATTAATCTATTATTCACAAATGTCCTTGTCTTTCTGATTTTTACTAGGATTCTAATGAAATTTGTTTAAGTAATTATTTTCAATAATATTCAGAATGTCATGTTAAATGTTCTGGATGTTTGAATGAAAGAAATAATTGCTAAAGCTGCAAATTTCTCCAAGGTTCCAATAGTTTAACAATTTCAAATTAATGTAATTCTAAAGATGGATATTATGATGATGATTTCTAAATTATTTGTAATAAATGTGATAGTCGTTGCAAAAAGTTGCGAGAAAGATGCAAAAAATTGCCTGAAATGCCAAAGCAACATAAGAATAAATCCACCTGATTGCCCATGTATGAATGGCTACTTTGAAACTTCATAACTAGTTTGTGAAGGTAATAATTATTATTATTTACTAAGTTTGTGAATTTTAATGCGATACTTGCTAAACAATGCCCTCGAATTGCATAACGTGTAAGGAAAGTCGTATAAACAAATCATGTGATTGTTTAGAAGGATATTTTGAAGGTGGACAAAAATTATGCGATTGTATATATTAGATCAATATTATAAGAATGTGACTTTTAATGTCAAAAATGCAAAACAATTCAGCTAATTGTCTAGCTTGTATGGTTTTTTAATTTTTCTATTTATAAGGGTGATAGAGTCTAAATTCCATTCCGTCGATGTTTGGACGGATATTATGATGACTTTTAAAGTGTAAATTGCTTGAAATGTGATTACACTTGTAAAACATGTTCTTTATATGGATGTTTAACATGCAATGGCAATCGAATTTTATCTGATCAAATGACTTGTGCTCAACCTCCAGACTCAGTTATTTCACTATAA